AAAAAAAAAAAAAAAGAAAACAATTGAGCATGATGTATGCAATTATATAGCATGCAAGGATTGACAGAAGAGAAGTATGGCACACACAGCATACAGCTGACACTTCTGGAGTGTTCAGCAGAGCACACACGTTTTTTCATTACTTTTATTATCTATGAATTAAACTGCTTGCTATGTAGGGCCTCAGCTCTCTATGCATGCACGCCCAACCATTTTTATAAGAGGAAAGTAATTTATTAACAAACTATTTTACRAAGTTTGAATGAAATCTCAAATACAAAAGTCATTATTTGTACATAAAAAAAACTTAGTTTGTCACAACACAAACATAAARCAAAGTATAAAAATGAAAAATAAAATAATGATAACAATCACTGCTTCTTTTTCTCCTTTATTGTTTCTGAACCAGGCAATTTATTTGCGATTTCTGTTTCTCCTCTTCTGTTGTTTTTTGTTGTTTCTCCTGTTATTGTTTTTCCAGTTGTTATGTTGTTGGGTGTTTCCAGCGAGCTTATTGTCCATCTCCTCGATACTTCTGTCCCGATGTCTGAAGGTGGAGACATTATTAAAAGAATATGAGTAACATTAAYTTATTTTGGTGTTAGAGTTTTTGTATTCCAGGGTATTGCTTAATACATATACAAGAGAAAATTCTCTCTTGATTCTAAATAAATTCTTAAAAATAAATAAGCTGCCTTTAGCATCCCCAGGACTGAAACGGATTTCTGCCTGTGCGCATTTGAATTGATTTTGACAGTTTACAGACACATTGAAGTGCAGTTCCACTCCAGTTTTTTATAGCCCGGGGTTGGTCCCGAGTGAGTAGAAATAGATATATAAAGTGACTTATTAGTTGTCTTTATCCATGAAAAAAAGAAACTGCGAGAACTAATCTGAGTTTGAACCCTAATTACTGAGAACCTTCAGCTCGAGTTGGGCCAGTCTTTTCCAATATGTTGTGTTTACATTTCGATCTAACCCAGTGGACAAACTGGCAAACCATCCAGTGAGGCAACTGTTTACGTACTCCAGAAAAAAAGGACTTCTTATAATAATTATTATATATGTCGTTGGGTACTCTTGTAAAGGTACCAAATAAACATTTAATGTTTTATTTACCTTCGTCCTGTTGCTGCGTCATCCATTACGCCCAGAAACGTGAAACAGAAACAGAAAACTTTGCAGGAGACGACGGCGTACGCGATGTTGCGAGCTGTTGCTGTTTTATCCATCGTGGCAAGAAGGCGGAAAAGTACAACAAGACAATCTCGAATCTTGTACAACCAAAAATAATCATATTTTGCTGCCTTCATACCAGCTGCCGTGGAGAGATCCATGAGATCATTTTGTAACTTATGAAACCATGAAGTAAGTGATGATGATGCTTTCAAACTGGTTGCAGATAGATGATCCATAGCAGCATCTCGCATGTTGCATAGGACATCTTGTGTCTTGTAAAGCCATGGAGTAAGTAATGACGATGCTTTCAAGCTGGTTGCAGATAGATGATCGATAGCAGCATCTCGCATGTTGCATAGGACATCTTGTGTCTTGTAAAGCCATGGCAAATGGAATTCTAAAGTCAAAGAGATAATAATAATAATAAAACGAAAAAGAGAATCATGCTTATCAGTCATGCTTACGTGAAGCAACTGTAATATTTAATACAGTTACGCCAGAAATATATAGTTTTCCCTTTCCTCCTTCCATTTCTTCATTCCCTCGACTGATCTCAAGTAGTTCCTGTATTGATGTCTTTTCTTTTGCTTTTTCAATTTTTTTATATCGTTTTCTTTTCTTCGTTTTTTCCTTTTCTCCTTCCATTCTTCTTTCCTTCTCTCCTTTCATCCTCGTACTTCTCCACTTTTAGACGTTAAAAATTTCAATCTGCACTTACCGTATGGAAGATCTCTTGACCTGCCATCTTGACATGTGGTACCTGCTCTATCCAAGACAGCATACTGTGAGAGGTTCTCCAAGGCTCTCAAAATCAGCGTGATAAAGAGGTGACAAGACCGTTAAATAAGTCTTCAGCGAAGGTGTCTTATCCTCAACCAAACTAGAAAGATCTTCTGAAGCGTTGAAGCTGTTGTGTGATACCAGACTGCAATTCATCTCTGCCGAGGCACCTGATCGCGAAATGACACAACAGACACGTTAAAGACTAGAAGGCATAAAAAAAGTTTTATCAAAGAGCTGAATAAAAATATTAACTAGAACAAGAGCAGTTTCGAGGTGATCTCTTAACCAGGAAGTATGATTTCTTGAACCACCTCAAGAAAACTGAGATCCTTATTATGTTGTTAAGGATAATATATATTGATTGTATTCAAGTATTTACCATCGATTCCTTGCAAGATGCTTGGATAATCAAACACAGCCTCCTTGAGAGAGAGATGTCTTCCTTTTCAAAATATGTAATCTGCATTTTTGAATAAAGTATTATTATTAATTAATTATGAGATATGTTGCAGGGGTGTGCCCCATGGTCATGGTTGACTTATTATAAGTAAAGCCCTGCACACCTTCAAAGAAAAGAACTTCGCTGAATGAAAGCAACGCAGTTTTGAATAGCAGTAAAACCATGAAATAGAAACAAAGTTGATACTGACAAATAGCACTAGTGAGTAATAGTTGCTATGACTCAACCAGAACATTCATCATACAAAGACAAATATACAAGAGACCATTTGTGTCTTGTTTAATAAATGTTCTGGTTGAGTGCTAGCAACTATTAGTCACTTAATAGCTACTATTTGTCAGTATCAACTTTGTTTTAATTTCATGGTTTTACTGCATGCGCTCTAGTGCGTTTGTAAAGCTGGTTGTAGTACGTTGATGAAGGGATGGGAAGCTTAATAGACTGAATGGGACTTAGAAAAACTTGTGTGAAAAATTAATGAAACCGAATAGTATCTTAATCATGGATCTAAAAATCAAATCTATCATCCATCTTACCCAGTGAGAATTTTTCCATATGAACCAAGTATTTTTGGTTAACTATGATTGGACTCGCAAGCGTTGAAAAAAGTAAAACTGCAAGAATACCAGAGAGTATCATCTCTGATTTCTTTCCAAACAGCATTCTTTTCAAAATTATTCGAATCGTTTTGTGCGTCGCATTTAAAATCGTCAGCAATCACTGTAATTATGACGTAAAACACAGGGTGACCGCACCGGGTGTTCTTAATTTGTTGCGCATGATTTCTTTCTTTATCATTTCAATATGGCAGTGCAAATATTGCCAACTAGCGGAAGAATTTCCCTTCAGTAACAAACCAAAAGTCCAAATGTTTCTTCTTTGCGCTATCAAGCGCCATCTTTTATTTCTTGGTCGACGCCCAGTAATGTACTAGAAGTTGTGCGCGCGTGCTGTTACCTGCACCACTAATCTCGATACCGCTGGAAAAGATTAAAATGTTAGGTAACGGGAAAAGTGGTGATGATAAAAAAGTGTCCTATAACTATTGAGTAAATCTCGCGTTCTGATGGTTAGAAGCGCGTGCTTTGTGAGAGCACACAGCATGCGCGCGCACTTTCAGTTGCTTCATTCTATTTAAAATAACAATAATCGTTATTTGAATTTCATATAAGAAATAAAAAACTTGCTAGCTGTGCTGTGTGGATTTTTAAAGCACTTRGGGATTGGCAGAACACTAGAGAAGTGTCGAGTCCGCTACGCGCGTCGTGCTTCTCCTAACACTTCTCTCATGTTCTGCCAAATTCCGCGTGCGCGCGCGCGCGTTTTCTATTTCTTTAATAGAAGTCTATACACGTAATCGAAATATAGCGAGCAATTTGAATAACTAGAGTGAAGGCATTTAACTCGTGAAATAAAAAATATTAGTCAACGTGTAATTGTCAAATAGAAACAAACAAACAAACAAACATAAAACAATGGAATTCTGGTCTACTAAAGTGTATTAGTCTAGTATCTATTTAACGGGTTTACTTCACTCTATCATTCTGCACTGACTAGTCTCTTTTTTCTCCACGTGAACATGAGGCTAGTCAGTCCAGAACTAGAGTTTTTCAAATTGGTGGTCTATCTCGATTCAGTGCATCTTTGTTGCACAATATACGAGACGGTTCATATCGTCCTGGTTCACAAACGTTTTTATTAGAGCTTTTTTCAAATCAAAGTGCTTAATGTCGTAAAAACAATTTGTATTGGGCAACTAGTTCTGACCACATCCTAACCATCTCTTAAGAGAAGTTTGGGGTGAAAAAGTGATTCGATTTATTAGAGTGAAAGCATTTAACCCGTGAAATAAAAAATGCCAGTCAACATGTTATTGTCAAATGGACACAAAAGAAAACAATGGAATTAGGGTCTACTAACTGTGTATAAGGCCTACGGCAAACGTCGAGCTTTTCATGCACCGAACTCATTAAAAACRATGGATATCAGGTGATAATGAGGCGGCATTCTTTGATGTAATTAAGTTCGGTGCATGGAAAGTCCGACGTTTGCCCTAGGCCTTAGTCTAATAATCTATTTCACTGGTTTAATGACTTCACTCTAAAAGTGAGTTTTCGAAAATTTTGACTATCCAATAAAAACTGTTAGACTACAAAGGGAAAAATCTATTGCTCCAATCAACATGGCTGCTGTACAAGAAAGATCCAATGAAGGTTTTGAGGTTCCTTCGTATGTTATTTTAATGCAGTTTTCCATATTCTGCGAACTCAGACATTTCAACAGCTCGTTGTGAAATTGGTTTATCAGTGCCGCCAGTCAAGGACATAAAAGGCACCAACTGATATTTTTGATTGATGGCAGTGAAGAAACAAATTTCAGCGTGCAGATCGCAACTACCGAGTTCGCAGAATGTGGAAAACTACATTAAGTAAACTTCACTAAACATGGTTTTTGACAAACAAAAGGCTCTCAAAATGCATCTTTTTTAAGGAATAAAAACTGGGTATTAACTCAGTTGATTCCATTGCATTCAAAATTTTGTTGATTTTGGCTGTTTATCAATGAAAAATGTCTTATTCTCTGGATCAAGATTACCATCATACCCAAGGCCACGCCCTCGGCTAGTACGCTTCAAATCAAAAGCCTTTTGGAATTGGTCCTCCAGTGCTTTGTTAAAAGAAGATTCCTGAGATCTTGACATTGCACTGAAGCTTGATTTGGGTTGGCTGGTTTGATTCAGAGCGGAGCCATCTTTGTTGCTGGACTTTTTGAAGCCACCCATTAGTCGAAGAAACTTTTCTTTTCGWTCATCACTTTCAAATGATGCATTTTCCCAACTGTTGAACTGTTAGAAAAAAAGAGCATATTTTAGGGTTTAATGAAGCATCATGTTCTTCATACATAGTGGGCAGCACCTGGACAGTTTTGAGGGAGGGTACGATAACTGTTTCCTACAAAAGCATCAAATAGCATCTTCTTTAGCTTTTACATTCTTATTATTTTTACATGCCATAGTGGGCAGAAAGCCACCCAATCCATCTCCTGGATCTGCCCTTTGGATTTAAAGATGGTGTAGGTCCAATGCCCAAAACAGAGTTCTACCACAGGCAACCCAGCAAAAGTACTTTGAAATTTAATGGGCTAATTCCCAATAGATCTCTCCTTGGGAGCGTAATGTTTATCCATTTCAGACTGTGTCATTCTCCGGAGAATAAGATTCTTTGATTGAGTTGTATCCATATTCATGTGTCTTCTCATATGCAACTGTTTAAACAAAGAAATGATACTCTTGGGAATTGGGAAAACATTATGCCAAAGCTGAGAGGGTCTACAGATACTTCTACTATTATTTGAAAATGCTTATATTATGTTATTTACCTGTCTTGTACCAGCTGCAAGATCTTGTTCAGTTTGTTGAGATTCGTCACCATCATCAGTTTGATCCTTGTCTTTTGCTTTCTTTTTCTTTTCCTTCTTCTTTTCAGTCTCATCTGTTTTGTGATTTTTCTCATTTCTGTGTTCTTTCTCTTTCTTTCTCTTCTTTTTCTTTTTTGGTTGGTCTTCAGTTTCACTGTCACTACTTTTCTCCTCTGAATCATCTTTAGATTTATGCTTTCGCTTTTTAGATTTCTTTACATCTGACTTATGTTCACTGTCATCTTCCTCTGAATTGTCCTGGCTTTCCTTACTTTTGCTTTTCTTTTTTCCTTTGTCTTTTTTTGCATTATTTATGTCATCATAAATGCTTTCTTTGTCTTCACTTTTGGTTTTCTTTTTCTTCTTTGTAGTTGAATCACTGTCACTAGAGGTAACTTCCTGCTCATGACGAGTTTTGTCTTTCTTTTTTTCTTTCCTTTTTGTTAAGTCTTTACCACTTTCAACTTCCTCTTTGCCCTTCTTTTCCTTTTTTCTTTTCTTTTTTGTCATTGATTCAATGTCAGAAGAAAAATTGTCTTCTAGATCTTCAGGAACAGTTTTTTCTTTTTCACTTTTCTTTTCAATCTTTTTCTTCTTCTTCTTTCCCAATTCTATTTCATCTTCATCACTATTACTTTCTTTATTCCTTTTATGCTTTTTCTTTTTTGGCTTTAAATCCTGATCCAACATTCCTTCTTCTTCTTCTTTGCTATTTCCTCTGTCCTCATTAATATCAACATCCTTTGCACTTTCTTTCTTGTTCTTCTTCTTGCTGTTTTTATTTTTTCGCTCTTCCATTATTCGTATTTTCCTTCTATGAATATGAAAAGGTATTCAAGTTCTAAACACAAAGCTCTAAGAATTTGCCATGCATACAAAGGCATGGGGAAGGGGGGGGTTATCAATTTCATTTGAAAATTTTTGTGGGTTTTTTTGGGGGGCTTTGAAAATTAAGTTAAGGGGAGGCCTGTAAAAAAAATTACTTTCTCTAATATGGATGATATATTGAGCACATGTATAGAGTGACCACAGTAAATCCGTGAAACACTAATTACTAAATAGTACAAAATAGTGCTAGTTAAACAATAGAAAACAATAGAATTTGCATGAAATTGTGCTATTTAGTATTACTAAAGTTTCACGGATTTACTGTGGTCACTCTAACGGTATCAGAATAAATCAAACACAGATACAACGAATGAAACAAATGTATTCAACCCATAAATTTTCGATCTATGCAAATAAAAGAAGACATGGCTTGGTAAGTAAACTATAGTTCTGTGAAATATCTTTGGGAAAAAAAGGTCGAACATCCAAGTCAATACAAAGCTGATGTTGTCACTTTCGTGTAGTAGTTGTATATGGAATACAGTACACTCGGTCAAGAAATTGACCAGCTATTATACCCGATGTTGCGAAGTTCAGTTCGAACTCTACCTATCTATAGATATATGCGGTATTTGATTTATCAACCATCTATGGAATAGAATAGTCAAATTATTGCTTACCTTGAACCGAACCATGCACTGTATACTGTACTCTGGCTACCCACGTGCTGCGATTACCAAATAAGGCCCGGTTGCTGGAGGTGTATCGTATGTACTAGTTTCCGCGTAAGACTGGAGCGGTCCATATTGATAACAACTCCGAATGGACCGCAGGGTCAGAGTGGAGATCATTTTTCGTCTTCTGGTGGACATTTCAACATGACCGACAAGAACCGTGCAGCCATCATAGAACTGGCTAAACAGCCAGGCAACAACACCTGTGCAGACTGTGGTGCCGAAAGTGAGTGCTTATAACGATAAAGGATTTTAGTTCCAGCGTAAACTAGCTCCAAGGTAATAATTTTTGATTGATTTTATTTGACTTTTTCCGGTGTTGTGAATGTTTTAGATCCGGAGTGGGCCTCAGCATCTAAAGGCATCTTCATTTGTATCCACTGCAGTGGTGTTCACAGGAATTTAGGAACACAGATATCTGTTGTGAAGTCTTTAAGGCTCGATACTTGGCACGATGATCGACTTCAGGTGAGCTAAGGAGGTTCTTTAACACTGAGGACTGACGGCAATCAGTCGCACTCTCATCAAAGCAGATGGCCAAGCTGACAGTTTAATTTTGCTCTATTTGCTCCTATCCACCGTACATACTCTACAATATTACCTCAAAAGCGAGCACTATATAGCTTCCCTCGCTAGCTCTCTTGTGTTCTCATACAAACCCTCGTAAAATTTCGGTCAATGAATTGACTGACTCCAAGATTAAGGAAGTTAAGCCAGAATTTACCCGTGTTAATTAAGTTATTCCTTGTTTACTGGTGTTGGCATATAGAATACCCAAATAACAGTTTGTTTGTATTGGCGAAAAGCTTTGGAAAATATACTTTTGTTTTCTCCAGATTAAGATTTCAGAAGCATGGAAGCCTTTGACCAATGGTTCCGGGGAAATTGTTGAAATACCCGAGCAATAAGATAATTTTTTTTTTACATTCCTTTCCTAAAGTTGGACCCGAGTTTAATTTTTTGATTGAATGAAAATTTTTTTTACTCTTTAATTTGAACTCAAAAATCGATAATTTAATATTTTTGATTCATGTTTTCCTTGTCCACTTGCTTGCTTGAGCTTTGAGGCGAGACGCTGTAATTATATATGTTGATCATGCACCATCATGTAGTAAAGTAAAAATAAAATGTCCAGTCTTATTTAATTTGATATATTAAAATTTCAAGGTAACGGTTGCCTATCAATTCATCTTTCCTCAGATTATTTAAAATCAAAGCAAAACGTTTTATTTATTTATTTATTCATATTTAGTTTTGTTTATTTTCTTCATGTGGTTTTCAAGGTCAAGTAAATATTTATAGCATTTACTTATTTGATTTGTAAAAATATATAGTTATAATAATTAATCTAATCTAATAATTATTAATCTGATAATTATTATTAGAGATAACAATTTTCTGTTAACCTATTTCCTGTGCCTTGCATTTCTATTTGTAAATCGATATGCATAATATTCATAATATATAGTTATTTCCTCTACATGTTAGAACTCAATAATTTGTGTATATGACAGGGGAAATTCCTAAAGTTCTTTACGCAATAGAGGTCATATTGCCATTCCCTTGAGAAAATTATAAAATTCACTGTTTGAGTATCTTCCATGTTTTTTTAACCTTTTATAACCTTTTTAACCTTAAACAACAAAATAATGATAAATAAAGGGATCGGGACGTGACACATGACACATATCAAACAGGAAATTACATTATAAATTAATGGAAATTTTAAAATATTGATCTTTCAAAATGTTTGTTTTTGTTCCATGTAGTTTATGACTGAACATGGCAATGCGAAAGGGAATGCAATTTGGGCTAAGAATGTTCCAGTGTGGTATAGGATTCCAAAGTGCACAGATCCATAGTAAGTGATAATGATGCAGATAGATAACTGGATAGTCTTGCATGGATTGATTAGCTAGATTGATGGATGAATAGACGGATGAATAAATGGATGAAAGCCTGCAGGGTACATGAATAAATAGACTGATTGGCCAATGAACCTATGGTTAATAGGTGGAAGATACCTGTTGCCACAGATGGGAACCCTGTGTCATGTTTGGAGTTCCTGTGGTTATTGGCCAGTGGCTGCGCTTGAGAGTATACTGTACATCTGTGCTATGTTTGATCAAGCATGTGGTTGTACCGTTTTGTTATGTAACTTAGATTTCACCGAGACGTATGACTGAAACTCCTTCTGAGGCCGGTCAGCAACCACAATACCTATGGATAAATTGATAAGCTAGAATTGATGGATGAATAGATCGATGAAAGCCAGACGCTGGGGTAAATGAACAAATAGAATGGTGGATAGGTGGTGAATTGACAGATTGCCTGATGAACAGAATGTTGATAGATGGAGAGATACCTTTATGGATGGATGGATGAATGAATAGATGTAAGGTTTGCTGATTGTACAAAAGATAAATTTATCATTCATATCAATAGCGTTTTGAAAGAGCAATGGATAAGAGCCAAGTATGAGAGACAGGAGTTTGTTGATGGAGCTCCTAATCCATCTTATGACTTAAATGGTAAATATCTGAATGAGCATAGGCTTAAAATAACAACTGGTCACTGATCAGTCATAATGACAGGCCAAATTAGTTTTAGCTTGGTTATACCTTGTTTATGGCTCAATTTCACTGATCACTAAAGGGACAAGTTCCAATTCTGGCTGGACATTGTTGGCTGTTGACCAGCTGTTATTTTTAGCCTGGATAATAATCACTGACACTAACTGACTACTTGACTGACTGACACTGGTTAATTGACTTACACTGTTGATTGAATAACTGGAGTATTCACCATTCTCTAATGGCTGACCAGTGCACAAAAACTTGAGGCTACCCAGTCATCTTGCAAAGCTGGGCAAGGCTGCTCATTCAAAAATAAAGGTCAATAGCACGAATTTAGTTCAAAACAAAAGGTAAATTTCTTTACTTTCCTTCTATAAAGTAACGTATTGAGTCTGCTTTATTGTACCTTTTATTGTGAACTAATGACTGGGTGACCTCATTTTTGTGCACTTGTCAGGAATATGAAAGTGGTGTATAGTATTATTTTATTATATAGTTAGGATAGTACACGCACGCTGATTGGTCGAAAACTGTGCTTTATTAGTGAACTGAGCACAGTGCTGACACCATGAGTGCCCTCAAAGTGCTGCTAGATCCCGCAACAGTTTTTCTTTTTGCTTAAATAAATTCAATACCAAAATAGAATTGGTGACTATATAATAAAACGAATAAAACAGCTTTTTTCTTGCTCCGTTCAGTAATAAAGCACTTGGAAAGCGCCATAAGCACTCATGAAGTGTAAGAAGCACCCTTACACTCCTTACACTTCTTTCATGCTTAGGGCACTTCCTGCGTGCTTTATTACTAAACGGAGCATGAAAAAAGCTGTTTTATATGTTAAATATTTGACTGATTCATAAATTGTTCAACTGTGAAAGTATTTTGTTGGTTGTATTTTTAAGGAGGATTAAAAAAAGGCAAACTAAAGAAGAAGAAGAAGAAGGAAGATAGTTGGAATGAGAGATTATTTATACTTTCTGAGAAGGAGGATTCGTTAGCTTACTTCTTAAAAGAAACTGTAAGTATCACCAAGCAATATAACTAGCTACTTACGAGAACGTTGTCTTACGATATTAGAACATTAGTAATTTAGTGAGAAAGGAATATATTAAAAGACAAAAGAAAATGTTCAGCTTCAATGATCTTCTTTTGTTTTTTAATATAATTCCTATCCCACTAAATCACTAATGTTCTATATTCGTATGTCAACGTCCTTGCAAGTAGGTGTATATAGTTGAAAAAGGGAATTAAAAAACAAAAACCATCACTCATAATGACAATAGGATTGAAATCTCAAAAGCATGCATTAGCCTGTAGTGGGGAGTGGTAGGAAGCAGCTTTACACAGGCTAGCATACATCTTAGAACTTAACAGCATTTTTCTTTTTTTATTTATTTMTTTTTTTAATTACGAATTACTATTCACTTGGGATCCCTTTGGAGAAGGAGGGAGGAGAGAGACTGGAAAGTGACTAGTAAACTTTTCTTTTTTAAAAAATTTTCTACTTGTTCAGGACACAGTGCCCAAGGAAGATTTAAGAGTATCAGAAATTAATGTGGTCTTTGCTGACGAAAAGACTCATAAACCAAATAGTTTACAAATAACATGGCTAAAAGATGGACAAACTAGGAACTACTTTGTGGCCTCCGACTCAGGAGAGGTATGCAAAATATTTTTTTCAGACAAGTGAGATTTTTCTTAAAAATCAAATATTAAAACTTTTTCATCACACGAGTACTGTAGGGTTGTGAAATTTCAAATTTTGAGTCAATAATAATATTGTGGACTTGCTTTTTTAGGAGATAATTGATTGGTATATGGCTATAAGAGCTGCAAAGTTTAATATTCTTGGACTAAGCAGACCTGGAGTCAAGCGAGAAGAGGTTTGTATCATAATACTGTCCAGAGATGATCATAATCTTTAGGATTACAGTACATTAGACTGATTTGACTGTATCTTGGGAAAGGCCTTTTTTCTACTTATAAATTTTTTTGTTTCAGATCAGTGATCTTTTGACTAGAGATTTCGCACAAGAAGGATTCCTTTGGAAGACAGGACCGAGGGTAAGAGTCCATTCCCGCCTACCACTTTCGCAGCATTAACCATGTCTTAAACTTCTTTTATTTAATACTTTCAGCCTAATGAAGGATTTCAAAAGCGATGGTTTACACTTTCTGGTAGGAGACTGTTGTACTTTGAAAAGGAAATGGTAAGGACTGATAATATTGATAATTGTTAATATTATCATTTATAACCATGTTTGTTTAGAGCAGATGACACGTGACAGTCCAAACTTAGTTTGATAAACTTTTGGAGGGAGTGGGGTGGTGGTACTTCAGTGAATGGACCAGGTAGGGCAGGTGAGAGAGTAGGCTTTTATACATGCAGTCAGTGTGAAGGGGCAAACATTAAATGCAGTTGACCAGTTACAAATCTGTTTTAGCTCCTTTCCATCTCAAGAGGAGAGAAAGGGGAATAATCTGTCAAACACTGAGTAGTCACAGTACATAGTCACAAGCAGTTGTCACACTGATCTTGATACTTATTTTAATTTGTGGCTTCTATCTTGTCATACGAAGGATGCACACCCCAAGGGAGAAATCCAAATAGGTTCCAAAGATAATGGTTTTGATGTGACAGAATGTGAAAACTCCTCTAAAAGGAGCCATTGTTTTACTCTAAAAACCCCACAACGAATCTACAATTTAAGTGCTGATGTGCCAAATGAAAAAGACATGTGGATGAGTGCGCTCAAGGCCGTTATTGAGCGTCCAATTTCTGAGAAGGAGAAGCGTGAGGGTAAGTCCAGTTGCTTACTCTAGTTCTTAGCACAGTTAGCCCAAGATCACCTTTAAACAGTGTTTAATATGAAATATGATGTGACTAACTTTCGTACAAATTATACGGTAAGAAAAATTGTACAGTTCCTAATATGAGTATTTTTTATACTGTCATTTAGCTAGATTTTGTGAAAAAAAGTTTACTGGATGATTACAATACTTTTTAGTCAGCTTGTTTCTCACTGAAGTTGATGTGAGTCACATATATCAAAGAAAAGTTAGATGCTGAATTTTTTTCCTGTAGTAGAGAAAGCTCAAGAACAACATAACCAAAAGAAGCGATCATCACTTCACAGAAGGAAGAAGTCACACTAGATCAATACTGCTGGACAGATATTATTCCATTAAAAGTAACACAGCCTAGTTCAATTATTATCATTCACAGGAATATCAAATTCTTGTACGGTTAAAAAGTTATATCTTATTTTTGAACCATTGAGCTTTAATCAGATATTTCTTAAATAAGTAAACAGAAAAATATTAACCATAGCTGGAAAGAGCATTAACTTTGTTAAGTTCGAAGAGAATAAGTTCGAAACTTAATAGCAAAGATATGATTTTTTAAAAGTACTGAATTTTGTAAGAAAATCCTTGCTGGAGGCAAGTGGTGCCTACAGGAATATAATATTGTTTTCATACAACATTTCCATTTTTGAAAATTCATATCTTTGCAGTATTCGAACTTACTTCATCCAGACTTCACTGCCGTACTAATTTTAACATTCATTTTAACTCATACTCTGATGAAGGACTAATGTCCAAAATGTCAGTTTCGCAAAGCTTTTTACGGTGATTCAATAAGCCTGAAGCAAGATGACGTTTTACCACCGACTGTATACCATAACAGTTTTTAAAATTCTTTCATATTAAAATTTTTGATTCCTCAGAGAATACAGGAACAATAGTCATAATTAAAGAACAAAAGCAATGTGAAAAGGTTTTTGGTCTAGAGACGAGGGTAAAACATCATCTCGCCTCAGGCTTATTTATCCACAAGTTCCTGCTTATTTCAACATGCTCTTTCCAGCTATAATTATTATTCTGTTCTCAGTGAGTTTTAGAATTTACATTTTAAAAGCTCTTGTGGTATCCTGGCATCGAGATTCACCAGGTCTCACATATTTGTGACTTGATTAACGCCCAAATTTCTGTTAGGAAATTTATTATTACTGAATTTTTATCAATAAATGTAATTAGAATAATTTATTCTAATTACATTTACTGTTTATACAGCAAATAAATATACATAAGGAATAGAGATGAAGTTCCATAACTGCATAACTTAATAGTCTTCTCTTCTGGCAAGAAAATATTTTTGAATAAGTAAAAATAATAAAATTATATTAATTAGAACAAGAATATAATTATGTAGAATTTTAAAATTTATTATATGAAATTTTCTGGACTCTTAATTTCTCGATTAAAAAAAACGCAAAATTGATATCTTTTTGTTTAAGCATTCTACGTTAAATTTCCTAAATCGTGAAATTTAAGTGTAGTGAAACTTTCATGTAATGACTGTAGTTCCAGAAATAATCCATACCCCACAGGAATTTGGAATTTCCATGTGGGGTGGGGGGGTCAGAGAAAGGACAAAACTGCAGAGTTTGTGTGAGAGAAAATTGGAATTTCCAGGGCTAGGGGTGGGGGGGGGGTCTGAAAAAATTTCTCTGTGGGGGTGGGGGTATGGATGATTTCTGGAACTACACAATAAGGTAATGTAGGTCAATCTAATCATTAATAATAGTGCTTTATTAGCAATTGTAAAATAATAGTAAATAGGAAGTATTTGTAGGTATAAAAATATAACAAATAGTTTGTGTTGTCTAAAACAATTTCTTCATAGTCATGATTAGAGCATGGTCAATAGACCATTTTTCRAATAAGTCCAAACCTGCTGTGCTCCTTGATCATAGCCTCACTTATACAGGGTTAGCCTCATTTCAGTCCCCAAATTCCCAAATAATAAACACTTCAACAATACAAATACTTTGAAATTCTATGGACCTTCACTGGAATGCATCAAGGCTAACCTTGTAGAACAGAGAATTCAAAACTGGAGTACTTTGAATGGAATTTTGCGTGTTGTTTTAAACAATTTTCAAAAATTTTGCAGGAGCATATCTCTCATCTCCTCAGTACATAGCCACACTAGCAGGATATCAGAGTGTGCAACCTGTTTAGAATATTTTATAATAATAATTATTAATTTAGTTATTACTCACAGTACTATTGGTTAGATATTTTCCCAACATGCTGTCATATTCCATATGGATGCCCATACTTACTTGTGGCTATTTTTAAGTTTTTAAATTTATGGTAACTAAGTCTGGCTGCCTTTGGTAACCAAGCTTTAAGGGTGCCACAGTATAGTGCCCTGCAAAAGGAAGATGATGATAATATTAATTATAATCTAAACGTGTCATTTTCCTCCATTGTATCCCATGATGCAATACACCAGTGTCATTCTTTCTTTTTGACTAGCAGCTCTTAGTGATTTCATTTGAACTGTGAAACAAGGGCTATTTAAGAGCTTAACTACCCTGGGTGCCAGAGGCCGTGTGGGGCTCTTAACAGAGCTTTGTAAAAATAGGACTGAAAGAATACAAAATAAAAAAATTCATTTCACGGGTCAAATGAAATCACTTATTATAAATCATTAATGAATTTGTAAGTAGGAGATTTTACATTAACGGCACTCGAACCATGAACACAGAGCATTTTTTCACTTGTTGAAATTGTTTACTATTGTAACTCACCACTTGAGCCAATCGATTGAAATAAGATTTATTTGACCACTTGGTGTATTTGAACTCATACTTCATTTTGTTGGGGTGGTAGAATAACAATAACATGAAAAAAACTTGGTGTTCACGGTTTGAATGTCCTTAGTGTAAACTTCTTTGATGCAGTTTTCTTGTGTAGTTTTCATAGGAAGCACTGTATTATTGCTAACATAACAAGGACATTTTCACTAGCTACATAGAGAAATTCAATATAGATGCAATAAAGAATGAGAAAGTATCAGCAGCATTGGACATTTGAGACAAAGAAAAGTGGAAATGGGTCATTCATCACCTGGGGAGGAGATTGTAAGGGGACATCTTTCACCTGAAGAGGAAGGAGACTGGTAGGGGGTCATACATCACTGGTGAGGAAGGAGACTGGTAGGGGGTCATAATCACCTGGAGAGGAAGGACACTGGTATGGGGTCATACATCACCTGGAGAGGAAGGAGACTGGTATGGGGTCATCCATCACCCGGAGAGGAAGGAGACTGGTAGGGGGTCATACATCACCGGTGAGGAAGGAGACTGGTAGGGGGTCATACATCACCAGTGAGGAAGGAGACTGGAGAGGAAGGAGACTAGTAGGGTATCTCATTTCTGATGATCTTTATACTTGGTTTATTTACAGTGACAAACACGAGTTAGAAAACAGGTTTATTTTCTAAAAAGATAAAAGTAGTGACTCTGCTTTAAGAATACAAAGGATAAATCCTGGCTTTCAAAGGGAAAAAACCGAGTAAATCTTTTTTACGATTGTGCTTCATATTTTTATTTTTTTGACATCAATTCATGTAAATTCTAATCCTTTTAATACTAACAATAAATACACTTCCATATAGTTGTTAAAATATTTTAATATATATATAACACTCTTAATACTACTTGTGCTGGCAGCTGATATGCGATAGTTCAGGAAGAATTGAAATGTTCCAGAGCAAAAGCTTTTGCTTGGGCTATTCTTGATCGACTGTCAAGATAAAAGAACAGGATATAGTTAGAACATGTAACTGTGGCCAATAAAAGGACACACCATATTTTATCAAACCCAGAAAAAAAACCTCCGGGCTGATTAAAGTCAGGGCAAGGCTAACTCTCACACAGACTGAACCCTGAAACAACCTATGTCCCACCTTCTAGGCATTTGGTTTTACCGCCATTTGCATTGCTACGCGGCCACCCCAGACAAAAATCGCGACGTGCACTTTGCAATAGACTGCAGTCAATCAAACAATTTGACATCATTTACACGCGTGTGTGATTCAAAAGGCGCCAAAACTTGTCGATTGTTTACAAGTAGTACGAGCCATATTCACCGGGCCTCCCGGGCCGATCCAAACGCGCGTAACTGTGACGTCAACGTAGTTATACCACTCACATGAAGGTTAATAGACAGAAGTGAGCTAAAAGATAAGAAAATGTGCCGCATCATGGAGTTGTGTATGTCACAGAAATATCAAAAGTGCTTTAGCTAATACTGAAAGTAAAAATTTCTTACTTGCTGCATCTGCTGACCGGCCTGGATTCCCCAGCAGTGTCAGGTCTCTCAGGGCTTGATATTGACTCCACGTCTTGATCAAAAGCTGGTTCTAAACAAAAAGTATTTAAAACTCATGTACCGAGATTGTGTGTCACAGTATTGTGTAGGGTACCAAAATTTGATGGAGTGCATACCATAATATGCACGTGAAAAAGTTAACAGCACCAATAATGCAGTCGAGTCACGCGCCTATCGCGTAACTCGAGTTATGCGCACTGCGTTACAACGTCAAATTTGGGTGTGGTCGAGCGCGTAACTCGAAGCGCAAAACTCGAAACGCGTAACTCGATGAATACCCGATCCCAAAGTTAGGTCTAGGTTGAGTGTATTTGCTAAATTACTAGTAAGTAACTAATTTGTGCAGTTTTTACAAAGTTTTTCACAGATATATCGTACGCACTCAAAGAGAAAACTCAAGAAGAATGGAACAGATAGACGGACATACATATAGACAGGGATGAAAGAACTGATTATTTAGTAACAATTAGCATATTATTTTCCCCATCTACCTTGGTCAAATAGGGTCAATGTTTTTGGCAGCTGAGCAGGGAGAGAGTCAATTAAATCTTTCATGGAGCTATATCTGGAAATTAAAAAAACACAAGATTTTAAAATACCCTAAATATGTATGAGCAATCAGTATTCTACCAAGAGAGCATAAATAAGAGAGGGAAACTTCTTAATAACAATCGCGCAATGCTATTTTTAGTAACCGGATGCAGTTTAAATTTGCCTTACCCTACTCCCGTGCGTCATCGACTTGCGAGCGCGTGCTCTTTCCGTTTATTGTTTTGATCGTTTTGAACCTGGTTTTGATGAGGTTTTGATCACTAAGAACTAAACGGAAAGAGCGCACGCGCGCAAGTTTATGATGAACGGGTCACTCTCTTAAGTATGCTCTTTTGATTCTACACAATGAATTGGAATTTAGGATATCGGGTTGCATGTTGGGAGGAAAACTATTATGTCTTGATGCCCAGTCAAGGAATGTAGCAGTGAGAGTCGAGTGCACTAACAAAAAAAAAAAAAAAAAAAAAAAAAAAAAAAAAAAAAAAAAAAAAAAAAAAAAAGAGGAAAATGATAATATACATGTACAATAATATAAAGAAACGAACCTTTTAGCAATTGATTCTTCAAATGATGTCTGTTCAAATATTGCAGCTTTAAGCTGCTCTTCGACCTGCCGGGAGCTCAGCACTGAAAAAATACAGAAGATTCCATTTATTAAATATCCGTAAAAATATTCAATGAACAGTATTCGTACGAGTGAGAAATGAACGGCTCTCCATCCAATCAAATACCCGGAATACGGCACGAACATGGGGCAGACTCGGTCACCGTCAACGTCTCAGCATCGCCAGACCAATCACATTGCATGACAAAAAAATATATCAATAAATCACGGTTACGACACCCTTACGGCACTGAGGTTTTTATAGTCATATGAAAAAATACTCTACAACACGTACAAGGTAAGGCATGCCGAGTACTTCATCCAATCACAATGCGTAGTTACATTTACGATAAGATACGGTACACCTAGAGTAAGGTACGACATGCCCAGTAATTCATCCAATCTGCATCACATGGTTACTGTTATGGTACACCTAGAATATTGCCTTCCAATAATTTATCCAACCACAACGCGTAGTTACAGTTACGATAAGATACGGTACACCTAGAGTAAGGTACGACATTCCCAGTAATTCATCCAATCTGCATCACATAGTTACTGTTATGGTACAACTAGGAGATTGCTTTCTAATAATTCATCCAACCACAACGCAGTTAAAGCTACGGTTATAAAATATGGTACTGCTACAGTGCAGCTACGAAGCTATCATATTGTTTTCCACTCATGAAAACCGCCCTATCGTTTCCCACTAATACAAAAACTGCTATATCGCTTTATATAAGACAGTGTCGTGCCATAACCATGCCATGCTGATGAAATAAGAAACTTTATAATTTTCCTGGTAAATCATATTTACTGATAAGAAAGGAGCACGATAGCATACCTTGAGAAGCAGATAGCGGTCTCATTAATGGTTTGGCTTTACCACAGGAAGAGGGCGGCCTCTTTAATGATATCTTGGATATATTCAAGCAAATTAGGTCAACATTAGTATGAGTGACAATCAAGGGTGGCATAGCAGTAGTACACTCTTCTATTACCTCTGGGGTCTTGGGCTCCATTACTGGGCCCTGTTGTATGTAGCCTGGATAGCGCTATCCGACTGATAAATCTTATCCAGTGGATAAATTCATTGGATAACAGCATCGACTTATCCACTGGATAAGGATTTATTCACCATACAGCGCTATCCAAGCTTCATATAACCGAGCCCTGAACTTGTCATTACGTATTTGAGGAGAGCTTGTTGGATTTCTCACTTGATTTGAGGGTTTTTCTCCAGCTTCCTCCCTCTGCAACACCCAATACGCTACATTCTAATTTAACTTTAACTTAATTTAACTGATCAGCCCAAACATTTTTTTAGCTCAAGAGGGAAGAATATGTCAGGAAAGGAGAAGGGCACCTTTGAATACTGCCATTATTTGTATATTAGGAAATTGGACTGATCTTGAGTACAGTTCGGAATTTATAGGTACCAGTGATGTTTTGAAAGTTTTCAAAATTGGACGTGTTTGAGAATTTGAGAACTTTCAAAACATCACAAGAAGATTGCACGATTTTTTTGTTAACACAACAAAACTGAGCAACGTAATTGGGACTCTACAGAGTACAATTTGGGATTTAATTGGTATTCCTCTTGTCCAATCAGAATCAAGTAATTTTGTTAAGCGTATTAAGAAGGTAATTCTTTAAAAGACGAACTTACGTACTATAAACATGTTTTGAAATCAACATTGAGCAATGACTACAACCATATTACGATTAGTATAAACCAAGTGCAAAACTCACACTGGTGTGGGGCTTGGCTTGTGGACGGAGGGATCCG